GACTAATGCAGTTAGACCAACTATGACAAACGCTGACCAACTTCAACACAATGCAATGGTACCCACACCACACTTACCTTACATACCTACTGTGGACATTCCTTTCTTTTCGTGCAGTTAAGAAAATTCTGAGAAAATACTTGTTTTTCTTGAACTGGGAACATGATTTTCAGCTGGATTTTGTGAAGGGTTTCCTTGACTGTTCCTCTTCCTTTTACGACCAATGACCCCTACCCCAAAATGCCTCTAAACTCCTTTTTCAGAGAAGGGCAAACGTCCTGTGGACGTGTGTAAATCCACAGAACGTCTTCCTTTCCTGCATCATATGGACATCTTTTGTTCACAAGTCCACACTAGGAATGTAAGATAAGCGCCTGTGGACACAGACCTAGCAAGACCGTAACCAACTGAACTCAAACACTTACCACTAGACAGAGATCAACTTGGAGGACACTGGCCAACCGGGACTCAAACCAACACAGATAATTGATCTTATCTCCAATGGTTAGATGTACTTGTATGAAAGGGCCATTAAAATCTATGAGAAAAATAAACATGAATTTTACCAGTCACTGAAGGATATTTTTTTAAAAACAAATGTAGCTTTTGGTAGTCAGTTGTTCACGTGTAAACTCAGTATTTTTATTTCTATTTCATTTCTTATGCAGGGTTCTGAAGAATTATGCATGTCCTGCAAATACGCAAACTTCAGTGGACAATTGCTTGGTCATCACCTGAGCAATGGTTCAGGTATGTCTGGCCTTTTTTATCTTAGTCAAATGAATGCTCTGGGTCGCGTGAATAACCTTCAATGTTGGGGAAGTCTGAATTACTGCAGCCTATGATGGCCCAGGCCACCCTGTAACAATGCTGGGTGTGCTGTGGACATACATGTTCATCATATACTCAAGTTTAGTGGGGCAATTGGGGCACCTACATGTATCTGGTCTGGCAGCTTAATTGTCTGATGTTCAGAGGCCATAGCTGGGGGCCAGTCAATTGATAATTGGCCGTGTTGAACCCAGTTCATTACATGTATGCTGGGGAAAGGTTTGGGTGCAAACTATAGTTAAGCCAGTTGTGTGAATACGGTCGAATGGTCATAGATTGGTAAATTCTTATATTATGCTGTTGGCTGCAACTCTTGCAGTGACATTTTGTACAGCTGTTTTCATGCCAGTGAATAGTTTCCTCTGCACTGATAGGTTACACTGGCTGTTAGTGCCACAATCCAATAGGCCTTATTCCTAATAGTTTACTAGATGGTCCAAACCGTGGACTATTTGGTGCGATGTTAGTGGAACTGTGGTTAACTTTAGTCCTTGCAGGAAATCGTCCATGGCAGTGCCAACCTGTCTGGTGCACAGTGGTCACAGAAACTCATTCTCTGCTATACATGCGTGTTCTTCAGAATGAAAAGGCTTTAATCTGAATAAACAGCTTGATTTCACTCAAGTTATTCCAATTATTCTCAACCGATGACTGGTCTTACCAGTTGCATGTATGGCTGAGATTGTTCCAAGGGTCTATATTTAGGTGTTTCACTCACTGAGTTTTTGCATATCCTGTTTTTCCCTGCAGGATATCTGACAGTCATCAGCTACATGGAGAGAGCATCCACAGGAAAGTAAGTGCCTCAATGCAACCTCAAAATAGCCAGCTACATTGTCAAGATGCAGTAAGTTACACCGGCAATGGGGGGAGTGGTCTGTACCCTAACAGTAACCACCACCAAAGAACAACATGCACACAGGTGCCATTAGGAAGCTTTAAGGTTGTGTGATTTATGATAAGAATTGAAGAAGTTTTTCTTTTGATCACAGCTTGACTGTTAGGCTACCAAAGTATACCTGCATGCTTTTCATAAACTGTAGTTGAGTTCAGACTCATTAACCCCCTCATAAAATTGAACAAGCCCTTAACTCTTCAAGGGAAAGAATTCTTTTGGCTAAGATTTCTGCATGAATGAACAAAATTCCAAGAAATCTCAAATGAAATTTTGTTATTTTGGAGCGGGAACAAAAATATCTAAAATGGCTTCAACAAAAATGCTAAATCTTCTAATTATTGAAGGTGGACCAGAAGTGGACCAGTTGTGCATTTTGTTATCATTTGAAGAACAAATGCAGAACTTGTCAATGACAGGGACTTGAACCAGAAACTGGGCTCTTTTGGCTTATTTTACAAACTTGATTTGTGTTGGCTTGTATGAAATATTTTTGCAGAATAAGAAAAGCTGATGAACTTGGCTTAAATAGCTGCAATGAACCTTAAGGTACAACTTGCAAAGTGGACCACACGCAGAGCTTGTGATTACTGTTCCTCACGCAGCATGGCTCAAGCAAATCGCAGAAAGTTGCCAAATGAAAAATTATCTCTCATCTGACCGTTTACCACATGCTGGTCGTTTCATTTGTTTACAGACTTGAATCCTGTTAGATAATTCAGGGTTTTTTAAATCATTTTTTTATATAATTCAAGTAATTGCTGAAAACTTTTAGTTAAAATTACCTGTGCAAGAAAAGATATAATTAGCTTCTCACGAATGATTTTTGTTAGTTATATATTGAGGAAAGTACCTTATGACTTGGGTAAACAGTATTGGGTTGTGCATTGCTGTTATTACAGTTGAGGGAAGCAGGCTGTTTTAGAATTAAATTATAAAATGAGCGTCAGGGTTAGTAACTTAATTTGTGGTGTTCTCCATTTTTGTTTGAGTTAATCATTACATGTACTGAAATAAAAATATAAATTCTATCAAATACATGAAAATGGGAATTCAAAATCCTTCCCAGCTTTTTGTTTCTTTGGTTTTACAAACCCCTTTTAACCTTTTAAACACAGACTGAATCCTCTCGGGTTAAGAGTTGGCATTGATGCTATGACAAAAGTGACATTGGACATAGAAATAAATACTTTTTGTAAAACTGATCAATGCCACTGCGTTATTATATTGAAAATTCGAGTTTGTCCACTGCTACAGTGAAAGATGCTGCCCCATGCAGTTCTTGGAAAATGGCACAAAAAGGTCTGCCACACGTTAAAAACAAACTGAAGAAAAATACTGTACAAATATCTGTTGAATGCCTAACATGTAGGGGAAATTAAACAATTTAAGGTATAATTGTCAATTTTTAATGAATTTCTTTTATCCACTCAGAAACACAAAACTACTTTATGCCATTTTTTCTGCAACTTGAGGAGATTTTTCGGGGGGGGGGCTCTTTTTTAAGTCATGCAATTCAAGACATATTGTTGGCTAATCTTTTTCATGGGCATGGTTTAGAAGAGCAAAATATACAAAAAATGCACATTGAAAAATTAAAATAAGGATTTTTGGACGAAATTTCAATTTTAGGGGCATAGCACATTGCACAATTTAGGTATTTGGTAAAAGAAATTGCAAAGATACTTCATCAATTGAACATTTTTTTACTTACTTTTTAATTTAGCTGAAGTAGTTAAAGCAGTAAATCCAAAAGAAAACTATTTTTTTTACTTTTATTGAAGTACATTTTTTATGAAAAGAGCAGCCGCCATTTCACTGAAATCAGTAAAAAAAAACAAATCCAGCGCGTAAGTCCGATATTTACATCATTCAAAAGTTCCATATATATACATATATATATATATGGGTAGAAATGCCGCTGACCATTATAAAGTTTTACGCTATACAAAAGGTCACGCCAAACAGACATATAATACCCGTAGACGGACAACAGCGGGCGCAAGACCGTATAATTTCAGGAAGGTACCATTTTGAAACTCTTACCTAAACCTAAACTCCAGGGGTTGCACACTACTCACTGACCACTCAAAGGGACCAGTTTTTTCTTAACTTGTAATTTTTTTGCAAGCAATGAGTGGGGTCTAGTTCTTTCCTGTTTGTTTGTCTAGATGGTGTTCTCGTTGGAACAGATTTTTCCAGATGCTTCAAAACATCAAATGCATATGTACAGCAGAAAAACATCTTATGTGAAAAGTATACACAAAATAAAAAGGGGTCCTTGACCTTTTTTTGAGTAGTGTAGCTGACCACAAAATGTGGTCCGGAGACTGGACGACTTTACAACGGAGTACATGTACTATGTATAAGCGTCTGTTTCCAGAATGGCAGTGGACTTCAAGACGTTAGTTTAAAGGTGATCATCTTATTAAAGATGGAAATATCTTCAAAAGTCAAAACTGAAAAGAGGGAAAAAGGTCTTAATATTAAGTGTATTTTGAAGACTGGAGAAGTTTGTCTTCCCGGACTTCTTGAAACAAGATATTTATCATTATAGGCAGCTTATGTACTGGTCTGTAACACCATGGTGTGTAGGTTGTGTTACTGTTTTTATGGATGGGGCGCCCTCTTGATGTAACCGCGACATCATCTGCCGAACCAACAAGTTATTTCTGCAGTTTTGTGTTGAACAGTCTGTAAAACAATTTAAAAAGTGAAGTTGAAAGCAGCAAGTCTAACCCAAATTCAACGCCTCCTTGTCTAAAAAGGCTTGTCGGTCTTTTCTTTGCATGATCTTACAGTACATGCGTCATACAGGACAAGTGTCATTCAGACTTACGTGGGATGTAGCGGTTATGTTGTATGGATCCGTTGCTGTTACATTACGCGCGGATATGACTTCCCCTCGACTCTGAATGAAATCCATTGGCAAAAAATGACAAATGGCATGGGTGCAAAATAACACTTGAATGTGCCTTTTCATTGACGGTCCAAAGTTAAAAAGGTCAAGAACCCTATAAATGAAATTGTGTGAAACCTAATCGAAGGCTTTTCCAATCAACTGACAGCAAAATACTTGGCACATTAAACCCAGTCCGTACAGTTAGGTAAATCGCACAGTGTGCGGATCTGTATTAATGATCAAACGCATTGTATGCTGCGGATCATAGAACGTTTATCGTGGATAAAATGGAGGGACAGAAATAATTGCTGCCTTGGGCTACAAAAATACAATTTTATTTGCAGTTTTCGGCAAGGTTTTAGGACACCATTTTGTTTTCTTAACAAGGTTTCTGCTTTTTTCGGAAAAAGGCAATGAAGCGAGTGACTGAAAACTGGCATATAGTTCAAAGACCATAAAAACCAAAATAAATCATAATTAAGAAGACATATAATATATAACCAATTTATGCAAGAGACTTGTAATTTTATTGCTTCTTAAAGCTTTCATAATTCCATGAGTTAATAGACTTGCTGGAGTCTTGTTAAAAGGGCGCCTGCGCTGACTGGCATTGAGCAAGATCTTGTTTGAAAATTACACATATAAAAGCGTCAGGGACCGCGAATTCCCACTGTGCGACCATAGAACGGTTTTACTGAATATTTTGCGTGGTTGTGCATCTCAAGTCATTTTTGCATTCAGGGCCACTCCGCGTGTGCGCTGACTCGACCTACAACCTACCGTACCGAAAGATCGCGCCCAGCGCCCGAGTGGCCATGCATAGATCTCTTTGAAGGAAATACGTCACGCTAGATCGCAGCTGACGACGCGCAGGGCATTGTGGGTAAATTCTGCCAGGCGCGCGAGCTCGCTCAATGTGGCTGTTAGCAGTTCGATATTTTGTTCTTTTTCTTCCTCATTGCTGAAAACATTCTCGCTACACTTTATTCGTTCATCCAAAATTGACCAAGATAACCAACGATTTATATGAAATATATCATGGAAGGGCACGTGATCAGTGATACTTAAAAGATAAATCACCACTTTTTGATTGTACCAAAGCCATTTTGTTATCATATATGTCGAAACTTTAGCCCATGCCATGGCATTGCTATTAGCTAACCAAAAA